CTCACCCCTCCGGAAATGGGTGGGTGTTAACATTCATCACCTGTCAAAACCCACCTCTGGAAGCTTAAAAACTGCGCTTCTAAGTGAAAATTTCGAATTCAGGAAATCTGCGCCATTTCTGCTAAAAATATATGTTTAATTACGAATAACTTCTAAAGCAATTAAACTAAGCAAAAACCTATAATTCCACCAGAAAGGCACAAATTTTCTGTACAAATGCATATAAATTTCTGTTAGTTAAATTCATAATTTCTATTTTTAAATTGAGATGATACTCAAGAAATACATGAAATTAAAATCTCATTAACACAGAATCAAACCCAAGAGACCTATTTTGAGTCATCCAGATTTACCACAGTTATGCAAATTAACCAATATAATTTACTTTAAAAAATAATAATAAAATTCAGCTAACACAAAAGCTGATTAAAACCTTAATTAATATAACTAAAAAATTATATTTCTACAATACCTTACAACCAGAAATTATCGATTCAAAAGACTTTAGCAGAAAGAGGGGTAGACGTTCACCAAACTCTAAATTAAAAACTTTAAAATAATTTAAAGTTACATAATCTTAAGGATCAAAACAAACTTTACAAAACCAAATAAACTTTAAGTCCCTAAACTCAAATTAAAAATTAAACAACTTCACTTTAAGAAAACTTTTAATGTTTACAGTTTAAAACTTACAACCAGCTTCAAACAAACTAAAGCAAGAAAATTAATAACTTTAATTACTGATCAAACAGAAATAAGTAAGCAAACAACTTAAAAGTTTGAAAATAATAACAATTAATGCATAACACAATGACTTGCGAGTTAAGCCAATCCGGATCTTCACTTTGATACTTCACCATAAGTTCATTGTCAAGTTAGTTCCTTTCATTTTATTTATTGGTATGTCTTTTCTAAGAAAATTTATTAGTAATTTCTTCTTTGTAAGAAACTAGGGCAAAAAATTTGCCATGAATTTTAGTCTTGTAAATAATGCAGTGATTTATTTATTTCAACTTTATGAATGTATATCAGTAGATAATATTATTTGAAAATATAATTTTTAAATATATATAAAGTTAATTTTTTGTCTGTCATTTCCAGGGTTGGTTCTAAGTTTTAAACTATTTGGTGCAAGTTCTGAATTTTACTGCCCAGTTTTAAAAGTTTTGCCACCTGATGCAGCTGCACCGGCTCTAGCACCAGCTCTAGCACCAGCCTTGATCATTTCATTACTTTTACATAAAATATTTACTTTTGCATGCTCTTAATAAATCAGTTAATGACTTCGAAATTAATTGTCTGTATTATACAATTACTTTTTACACATTGTGTTTTTATTTTAAAGTGCAGTTCTTATAAGCTTATAAAGTTTGGCAATAAATACAGTTTATAAATTTCTAAAACATTTTATAACACAGTTGTATGTTAAATTAATACTTCCAAACATATTGGTAAGCATTTGGCATTTTTCTCTTAATATATATATAATATATATATATATATGTATGTATGTATGTATATGTATATTTCTCCCTTATTTATCTAAAAATTCTTCAGTGGTAGCAATCATAAACTGTGCTTATTGTTTGGCTAGTTAGAATAAATTTATGTTTGTATTTAAAGAGAAATTATATTGGATTATAATAATTGTACACACTGATAAAGAATTTCTGTTGATTAGCTAAATGTAAATTTAACTTTTGCCTGTATGCCTGTACTTTCTCAGCCAAAGAGTCTAAAGGGAGGTTCTATACATTTATCATTTTGATTATTACAGAACTTAATTCTAAAATCTGGAGCCCTAGGAAAGGTCACAAGGAAGAAAGGGAAAAAATAAAAAACTAATAGTTAAAAATATTAAATAAACTATAAAGATACAAATAAAAATTTAATAAATTATTAAATTTGTGTGACATAGTTACATAAAATGTTGGACCGCATCTCATTTGGAGATCCAGCTGAACTTACAATTTCATTCAGAGCTCCAGCTGAACTTGCAATTTCATTCAAAAACTAAAAAATGGCTCATCTGGCCTCAATTGAATTTAAGCTCTGAATATGCAGTATTACATACTATGTCAAGGGATATTAGAAGAAAAAACTAGTCTTTTTCCAGCACATTGGTGGAAAAAGGTAAATGTGGAAATGTAGCTTCAAAAACAAAGAGCAGAATCCAACCATTTCTGAGCATGATCAGGTCTTAAATTGTGCTGGAGTCCACAGGAGCTCAGTTCCACTACTTCTCAGTTTCTGAAGGAAATAGTCATTTTTAACCCTTCACTTTTTTTATATAAATGTAGCTTCAAAAACAAAGAGCAGAAGCCAATGATTTCTGATCATGAATCATAATGATATATGCCTGCCAACATTCCAACCTTCAAGCACAATGCAATCTGGAGGAAAAAAATCCCCCCCTCCAGTTTCGATCTGTTAACAACATTAAAACAAACGTAAGGTCTTCAAACAATTTTTATCCCTCTTATTTGGTTGTATAATTCAAATGTCTACAGTGGAAGGTCACTAATGCTGGATGTGCACAACCAAGTTTTTAGAACTTTTGGGGGTGAAAATTTTACCTGTTTTCATAAATTTATTGCAGTATCTTGAGAATAAGTCTTTCGTGTGGATGTGGAGACTTTTCTTTTCTTAAAAGTCTCAGCCCCCATCGAAGTGGTTGCTTCCCAGAAAAAGACAGGAATGCATTCAGAAGTTAAAATTGATTTTTAAGGCATATTTATTATTAAAATAAAATTTATCTTCTGAAACCATGTTTCACTTATGTAAAAGAAATGCTGGAGCCCTTTTATTTACGGCCGCAGTGCGCTCTGGCTAGAATTGCAATTTATCTCAAAAACTGAGAAGTATCAAAACGTGGCTTCAGTGCGCTCAGGTGCAATTTAAGCTCCAAATTATCAACTTGTATTAGCAGTTTAAATTCATCTTTGAAGTCATCTGAATATTTTAAAAGTTTATATTCTAATAAAAATTACTTGAGAAAGAAAATTCTTTTCAATTTTTAATATTATTCTTATTGAAAGTGGTTAATGGGCAATAACAAAAGGACAATGTGTAATATATTCTTCATTGTAGAAAACTGTTGCTGTTTTCGTGGTGTGGTGAAAAGTAAAATTGGCATATTGAGCTATAACTTCAGCATATTTTGTATCAACTTGTAATTTTGTCTGAAATGCATCTTACATTTCTACATTTTATATCCATTTTTAAAATTTTAATTTAATTAATTTATAAATGTATCATTGGCTAGTGTTTGAAAAGTTAACAGATTTCTTCCAAATGTGCAGTGCAAAGTCCGTGATTCTAAATCACTGTGACTTTGGTGGTTTTGGATTTCAGATCATCAGTTTAAATTCATTAAGATGCTGTGCAAATATGGAAACACTTTAGCTTATTGCTTAGGTCAAATAGCAATAAATAAAAAAAAAATCTTTTAAAAAAGCTAACCACTCACAACCACTCAAGGGCCAAAAGTGTGATTCTGGCCAGCATCAGTACAACATCCATTAATTAATGCATTGTCATTGGTCACAGTGAGACTTCCAGCAGTTGTTTGAAAGTGCTATGCAGGAGTCTCAGGTAATTGGGAGAAAATCACATTTACAATACACGTGCTTCCTTTTGATTGTTAATTTCTCCATTCCTAAACTTTGTTAGGGGGAAAATTTATTATCATTATTTTTTAACTGATGGTTCAGAGGTCCAGATTTTGGACCTCATACTGTGCATTCAAAATGTACTTTTATTAAAATCATATTTCCTAAGCACTTTTTGAAAATTAAATATGCAAATTTAAAAGAATAATTATACTTTAAAAAAAATTTAAGTTTGCATTTTGACACAGAGAGGAGTTATACTACTGGCTTACTTTCTTAGATACAGTTTGTAAATTAGTTTATATCAGTTGACGTATATCAGTTTGTATAGCAGTAGTCATAAAGGAAACTTTACACTAATTCCTAGAATACAAATAGATCGGTATCTGAAATGTTATTCAGGAATTATCATCTGTAGTTCCGCATAAGATGTTTTAATGTTAAAGTAATTAAACTAATAGCTGAGAACTTTTATACTAAACGTGTATAGAAAAAAATAAGATATATATGTACATGTACCTTAATTTTCTGTTCATTTATTTAACACCCAAGTCATGTTATGCTTTTCAAATAATATTATTTTCCTTGATTGGCAGATCCATGAGTGGCTAAGCAGTAAAGTCGCTGAATGCTAGTACTAGTTCCATCTAGGTTTGATTCCAGGTGAACAAGCTGGCTGCATGGTGTTTTCATGGTTTTTCCCCATGTGTAACATGGGTACTAGCCATTTCCCTTTAAAAGGTCCTCCATGAAAGCACCGGTCTTCTGAGGCAGATAGCCCCATATGCTTTGCTGTACAGGCATGAAGGAATTTTTCTCCACAAAGGTATTTTTCTCCTGCGAAGCTGTCATATTCAAGGATATTAAATAGCTTCCCAGGAGGAAAAATTCCTTTGCGTTTTCTAATCTCTTATCTGAAAATTAACAAAGACGATCCCCTAAAGACATGCTTTCAAATGAGCTGTAGTTCCCATTGCAATACCATCTGAAAGGAAAATGAAAGTGCATTCTTATTTACCATCTTTTAAAGCGAACTTTGATGTGTATGAACTTCAAACAACTCCATCCTGGAGAGAGCATGATCAATAAGGCCATTAATCTCCTTTTTTCATTTTCGCTGCATTATGGGGTTAGAAGACATGAAGCAACGAGTCTTTCTGGGGGATAATAATCCAGACCATATTTAACACCGACAAATTTGTCTCATTGCTGACACCTGATGACACTTTTCAATTTGAAGAGTCTCTTTCAGTGGAAATAATGAAGTGCTTAAAATATTTTCTGAGCATTTTAATACACTTTCACGGTTAATTTTGTTTATATGTTTATAATACTGCATGCTAGTTTTGAAGAAGTTTTAAATGTTTTCAGAGTATAAATGTCTAATATTTCCATAACTTCTATTTTTTAGCTCTCAAAATAATGGCATGGCGTTTCCCTTGTGAAGTTTGTGGCAAAAATTTCAATTACCAGTGTGATTTAAGCAGACATATACTTAAGCATACAGGCGAAAGGCCTTTCACTTGCATTTTGTGTGGTAAAAAATTTAAGAGAAGATACAATTTGAATCTTCATATGAATTGCCATTCCAAAAATGAAACTTTGAGTTGTAACTTCTGTGGGAAAATAATTTACCACCTGTTTGATGCAAAAAGACATGTTTCATCATGTACTGAATTTTTAAAGGTTGCTACTTCTAAACAGATTATATCAATTAATAAGCAATTGGTAAAAGATGATATCAGTTTTCTTTCATTCTAAAAAAAGGACAAGTAGAGAAATAGGTAAAAGTGAAAGGGCTACAAGGCCATCTACCATTAACCATGTCTAATATCCCAACTCACAAACTGCTTGGAGAGTATTCTGCTCAAAGTGCCGAAGATACAACTGCACCAAATATCGGATTGCATCTGTTCTACCTCACATTTGCCACTGCCAAGACTTCTCTCATGTATATACAAGTGATAGAGCAAACCCATGTACAGCATTTTCACCCTTATTTATATTGAAAAGAGAAAGGTTTAAGCAGCTGAAAGAATAATACTATTTAACTGTCACAAGAAACTGCAAGAGTCATCTATGCTTGAAATCTCCATTAATTTATACAGGGGCTTCATGAGATAGCAAATCTTGAAAATAGAGATTACGCATTATTATACAATTAGAACTGTGTTGCTTTAATTAATCTGTTAATATAATACCTTTCTATATACTTCCTTTTTAAAGTAGCCAGTGTATTTTGTTGCCAAAGTTTTTCAAACTTGTCAACTTTGTAATGCTGAAATTTCAAATGTCACTAAAAGCTGATATAGTGGCCACTTTAACTAGGAAGTACCCATTTTTGTTCGTATTAATTAATCCCTTATGCTAATAATAATTATTGTGTTACAAAATGATCTTTGATTCAGTAATGCCATTTATAGAATGTGCTGGGCATCAAACAATTTATGCAGGAATACTGACAGTATTGTTTCTGATTAAGATAAATGCACTTATGTTAACAGCACAATTAATTCAAGGTGGCTGTGCATGTTGTGTCAGAAAATTTCACCAGTTTGAAAATTATTCAAGTACTGTAGTAAATTTTTAACTAATGGGGTATATTTCGTAAAAATTAAATTTTGTGATTGGATGATAATTTCAGTATAGGCAGTGCCTAGAAGCTTAATTCAATTTGATAACAAATCTGAGCGTATTTCAAAGAATTTAATAGTAGTAAAAATCATGATGATGTGAAATGTTTTGTTGAATTTACTGTGTTAAATGTTTCTGATGATGAGTAAGTATAAAACACTATGTGCAGAGAAGACAATTACAATTTATTACAGTAGAAGCAATTTAAAATTATACTAACAGACTACTAAGACTATTCATAAAAGTCTGCAATGCTATTATTATAACTAAGCTGTTTTTATTACTTGAATTATTTAGAAACATATTTATGAACTTTTGAGTAAGTTTTCCCAATTTAATTGTTTAACTAAAAAATATAAAATTTGTAACTGTCATAAAGGAAATTTAATAATTTTATTTAACTACTAGTTATAAGTAAGTTTAAAAATTGCATGAGGAATGTCTGAATTCTAACTTTGCACTATACACGTCTTTCAGAAAGTGTTGCTCTGAAACGGCAGGAAAAAATTATGCAATTTTTGGAAGAATTTCTAAAATCTCTCTTTTTTTTTTTTTTTTTTTTTTTTTTTTTTTTTTTTTTTTTTTGGACCCCCCTTGTATAAGTTAAAATTTTAAAATGCCTATTTCAAATATCACTTATTTTTTAAATATATGAATTGCATTATTATTGTTTTTAGCAAGCACTGTTTTGAATTTTTTGACATGGAAATAATGTAATGATTTCTAAGTAACAGTGTAACTGCATCTTTAAAAAGAAAAATGGATTAAAATTATGGTTACAGTTGAATGAAAACACATGATTTAAATTTTGCTTTTCAATCTAATCATAAGGATTAATTTTATAAAAGATTGTGTTTTAAATGTTTATTTAAATTTAGACTTTTTAGTTAAATAAAAATACTTTCTAATGTTATTATTATTGGCCTGTACTATTTATTTTAATAACCAATTTATAGTAGAATCAGATACAAATGATTTTTACCTTAAGGTAGAATATATCCAAATTACACAACTATTTTGCAAATGAGACAAAAATATAATAATCAAGTGATTTGCTTAAGGGAGTGAATAAACTTCATGCCACTGGAAATTGCATGTTGAAACTCACCTAGATAATTAAATTGTCTTTAAATAGTACTCTGTAAACAAAAAGAAGCATTTAAAGTGGTATATTAACAAGGAATTATCAATTCAGAAGTCAAACAACAAAAATCAGCGTTATATTTACAAAATTTTCACAGGACTAGTTTCGATGGTTTTACTGAACCACCATCCTCAGCTGCAAAACCGCAAATGAACAAGATAAGAAATAATGATTAGATAAGATAAGCTTATTCTTGTCCAGACTTTCTTATCTTACCTAATCATTATTTCCTATCTTGTTCATTTGCAGTTTTGCAGCTTATTCTTGTCCTGACTTTCTTATCTTATCTAATCATATTTCCTATCTTGTTTTGCGGTTTGCAGCTGAGGATGGTGGTTCGGTAAAACCATCGAAACTAGTCCTGTGAAAATTTTGTAAATATAACGCTTATTTTTGTTGTTTGACTTCTGAATTAGTATTTATTCGGCGTGTTATTGTGTCTTAATTAAGGAATTATCAGTTTTTTAATTAATATGTTACTTGTAAATTGTTGCGCTTTTGCTCTGTGTTTAAGAAAGTATGTTCCTATAGTATATAAATTTACTTTAAAAACTATAGAATCCCTCCCCTCCAGATAGAAAACTAAACATTTTCTTAAGATTTCCAGTTTTTTTTTTTTTTTTTTTTTTTTTTTTTTTCTCTGATCATTAATCTGAAAAGAATAAAACAAGTGGCACATGTGCTGCTGGAAAAATTATGATTAAATTATTAGAATTATTTTTAAATAAACCATTTTTACCGAAGTTCTTGCATAAAAAATAGTTATTTTTTTAACATGCAGCTAGTGTAACAATCTAAATATAGAACTAGCCTTAAATAAATTAATTAATCAGATAAAATTTGAAATAATTTCGTGAATTTCATTTTTTTCTAATGCATCTGTAAATAATACGATTCAAAATTTATCATTGCTTAGTGTATTGCCGATGTACGTATCTTTTCTATAATGTTGCGTTCTACGGCTTCCTGGATTTGGAGTAATTGATGACAATACTTGATGAATCAAAACACAATTTATTGGCCAATATTATACAGGAGAGTTCCAAGGAACGTGAACAGTCGTGGAAAAAGTACGATAAATCAATCGGCAACACAGCCTTCAGGCTATAACAGTAAATATAGCTTCACGGCAAAGCACTAAAATATAGTTGCCGACTCGGTTAATCGCTCTCAAGCTAATCTCTGAACTCAGAACACTCAAGCTACTACTTTCTTCGCGTACAGGCAGGGTATATATAGCTTTAACCTACTTTCCAGAACATTCCCGAGAAAAAGCGCTAAGAATGCGTTCTAGAATGTTCTCACTCCATCTATGGCATGCTGCCAAATGAGCGATTTCGCGCCAAGTCTGTTAACCCTAACCCCGCTTTGGGGATTTTACCACAAATCGGCATTTCGCAGCACTGCCCCCTCCCAAGGACTGTGCGTCCAGGGCAGTACAACTCGTGGTCAAAAGCCAAATTCGGTACAAACAGAAGGTAACAAAACAAGTAAAGTAAATATTTATATTATTTATAAGTGTGTGCAAGTTATATCTACAAATTATAAGAAAATTAATCTATAATAATTATGGGCGCCCCTAATGTACTATGTTCATAGTATGGGAGTAATTTGGCATAGTGGACGGCCTTAGGTTTAGAATCGGGGCGGGGATTTACGGATCCGTACCACGACGTGGTTCAGAATTGTGTAGGGACCTCCCAATGCGACTATAAATACTCTTACGACTCTTGAGTTTGGGAGAAATACCCTTAAGACGATTCGGATTCCATAGCCACAGATTGTCATTTTCCTGAAACTGACGCTCAGTGGCTCTTGCGTCGTATCTCTTCATCCTGTTTGTCGAGATGTTGATCGATTCCCGAGCAAACCTGTGTACCGTATCCAATTGAGCCTAGAGGTCTTGCACGTACTTCTCAGGCGAGGAATTCGGAGGGCGGCCAAAGAGCACGTCACTTAGCAGACGGAGATCACGACAGAAGAGCATCTGGGATGGAGAATAGGGGGGTGCTCTTGTGAACGGCTCTACGGTAAGCAAGCAGGAACAGGGGCAGCAAGCGATCCCAGTCTTAGTTCCTGGAAATCATGAGCGAGTGCTTGTTCAGGATTGTACGGTTAAACCTCTCCACCATGACATTAGACTGCTGATGCAACGGGGTGCGTAATGGCAAACCGCACATTGAGTTGATCAATGTTAACGAATTCCGCTACTGCGCATGCTCAACGGGTACGTGGCGTGGGAGGAAATACTGGAGACTAAAGGAGGGCATAAGCAACCCTACAACAAACCTGTTAGTCATGTTGGTTTTACTGTTACAATTGGAAATACTAAGAAAATGTTTGTGCTTTTTGCATGGCTTCTGTTTTCATTCATTGGTTTATTTTGTTCATAAAAATTACATTTTATATCAGTTATTTTGAATGCCTAGCAGGCATCAGACCAATACTTTAGCTGTTTTAATGTATGAATTGATTATTCAATAAAGCCCACTTATTTGACTTTATTCAGTAATTTAAACTGGATTTATTCTTTAATGCTAAAGTAAAACGAATGGACAATGGTTAAAACTCAATTGTTTATTCCTCAGAAGTATAATTAATAGCATCAATAATATATCTTGTAATGATTTTCCTCCTTTGTAAACCTTCTTAACCAAAATTGCGTAGTTACAGAAGCAACTTCACCTGACAAGTTTTAAAACACGAAATGTTTACATCCAGATAACACAATATCAGCCGTATACCGTATTATCTTCTTTTAAATTGAGCCACAGTGTAATTGCGCCAACTTCTATCCAGGGCATGCGCAGTAAACGAAATTCGTTTAACATTGATCAACTCAATGTGCGAATTGCCATTACGCCAACGGGGTTGTCTGCGTTTTCTAAATTTCCAATAGGTCGCAGAGTCCCTTGAACACAGCCGAAGTGAAATTCCTGCCTTGGTCGAAATGAATCTAGAGAAAATTCCCAAACTTGGACACCCACTTCTGTAACAGAACTTCAGCTGTCGTGATAGCCTCTTGGTTTGGAATTGGGTACGCTTCGTATAATCCATGACAACGAAGATGTATTTGTTGTTGCATCCGTGGTCTGCGGCAAAGGTCCGAGTATGTCGACGGCAATTCGCTCGAAAGGTGCTCCTAGGATGTAACACTGCAGTCTTCCCCAGCTACGTTCCTTTGGTCCTTCCTTGGCTGCGCAAGATCACACCGCTTCTCAACATCGGTTTTCTCGGACAGAAGAAGCGCTCTCGAACCTTGTTTTTTGTCTTCATATAGCCGTCCTATTTTTGCTATCCTATTGGGCTGATGTGTATTTTCCTTCAGAATATCAGGTATTTGATTTCGAGGAAGCAACAGCGGCCATTTCTTATTAGTTCCTTCGTTGCTTTCCCATAGTCGATACAAGACTCCATCTTGGAAGTGAAGCGAGTCCCAGAAAGCCCAGTAGCCGTCAGTTGTAGGATTGGAAATGGAAATATCCTGCCACTTGGGTATTGTACTGGATGAATCCTTCAGCTCTATTATTGGGCTAATGTCAGGATCCGCCAAAGTATCCTCTCTAACTTTTTCGTCACTCCGTGGATTTGGATTGACTGATGTTGAAGATGTTATTTGCCGGATGCTAGGATTCGCCAACCCGTACTTAGGTTCGGCTTTTGAATAATGCCTTAAGTGTGCAGGATGCTTCCTGGATAAAACATCCACATTTCCGTGCGAGGAGCCTTTACGATGTTTTATCTCTCAAAGTCATATTCCTAGAGTCTTCAGGATTTTTGAAATTCAATAGCCAGGTTAGGGAAGCGTGATCGGTCCGCAACAAAAATTTTCTGCCATATAGATAATGATGGAAATGTTCTATGGCTTTTACGATAGCGAGCAATTCTTTACGGGTGACGCAATAATTCCTTTCTGATTTGGACAAGCACTTACTCTAATATGCTATTACTCGCTTTTGACCATCAGTCATTTGGGAAAGGACAGCTCCCACGTTTTCGTTGCTGATATAAATTATTTTCCGGTCTGGGGATATGCGAGCATTTGCGTAGATGTTAATGCCGCCTTCAACTGATTGAAGGATTTTTCGCACATCTCAGTCTATACGAAATTTTGTTTACTCTCTGTTAACATATGTAGGGGCCTTGCGATGTTGCAAATATTTTTCACGAATCTTCTGTAATATGTGCAGAGTTCTAGGAAGCTCTGTTACTTGATGCGTATGCACAGAGCGTTCCCAGGCCTTAACTGCCGACACCTCTGGATCTGTGTGGCCACCCTCGGCGGAGATGACTTGCCCCAGATAAGTGACTTCGCTGCAGAAGAACTTGCATTTCGAAGGACTCAACTTGATGTTGCCATCTTCCAATTTCTGCTACACCTTTCTGATATTTTCTAGATATTCCTCGAAACTATGGCCCACTATAATGATATCATCTAGGTAG